CCCACGGTGATCTGAGCAGGTGGAAGAAGATTGTCATTGAGTTCCATTTGGTCTGGAGCCAGGGGCAGCTGGCAGGAGTCCAGGGAAAATAAGTCCTTCCTTAGTAAACTGAGCCACAGTGCTGTGAAGATATATGATTCCCTCCATAGTTTCTAACTCCTTGCCTCTAACTGTGCTTTTTTGTCAACAAAGGAAGCAACGGTATTTATTGGCACTTTCTAATTAAACACGGGGCAGGTCCTAGACCTTCTAGGAATGATTGGGCCATAATTTCCCCGTGGTTAATTGGTTGCAGTCCAGGTTCAATCATGGACATCCTTTCACAGGAACTGGGCTGGGCTTCATTCTCCATGCTCTGGAGTGGAGCTGCAGTTCTGATTTGCATCAAGGCCACTTTCTTGTTGAAAGGAGCAAGACTTGGAAGGCTTGGAAGTCTCAAACATTTCTGGGCCTAATGAGCTGAGCAGACGGAAGGCAGCCCAAGATGGCCTCAGAGTGGGTGGGCTGCTTGGACTGAGGCATCCTGCAGACGTCTGGGGAGTTTCTGGAGAGTAGCTGTGTCTGTGGTGGAGATCCTCCTCCGCTGGCTGAGCGTGGCGGGAGAACCTGAGACTCGGGGCTTCCTTGGGGGGAAGCCAGGCACAGTTGCCGGTCGGTAGTGAGGCTTTATTGACGTCTGCCATCTGCCTGAAATGGCCAGAGACCGGGAAACAGAATCCATGGGTTTTTCAAATCCAGAAGGAGGAGAAACTCCACCCGGAAACATAACCCCAAGTAAAGTGTGTGGAAGCAGGATGTTTAATTGCCAAACCTTTCTTGAGACCCAGCTGCCGGGTAATGTTATCTGCGCTGCTCCTGTGGCCAGAGGAGAGTTTATCTGGGCCCCTGACACAGGCCTGTAAACAGAGCTGGCTTTCTCAGATGACCTCTGCCCTGTCCCCCTCCCCTCCACCTGCGCTTTCTCTGGTTTATCGCTAAGGTTTCCAGCGCCGGCGGGGCCAGCTCAGAAGGGCTTGAGAAGCTCTGCTTGGGTGGGGAGAGTGATTGGTTGGAATTTTGTGTATCCTTTGCTCATCTGGAGCCATAATCTAGGATGCTCAAGGTTTGGAAGGAAGCAGAGGAGCCTCCTGCCTGGATGTGAGAGAGGGGCCTGGAGTCTGCCTTCGGATGTCTCGGCTTATCTCCAGGGAGGTCTCTGCACATTTCCCCAACTCAGTTTAGAAATGGTCTGTCCAGGAGGGTAGGCTGGGGGTAAGTGAGGGGGGATAGGGCTCTGGTAAATCCTAAAGTTTTGGGAGAACCTGGGAATGGCAGTTCACTTCTCCCACCCCTGAGTCACTATCATGCTTGTTGAGGGCCTGGGAAGTGGAGTACAAGATGTTAGCAGGAGCAATCCTTTGCCCAACAAGGAAAGAAATATTTTTGAAGGGGAAGCATAACAGTGTTCTGGTGGGTGTCTGTGGCTGATGGGGTGCAGGGACAGCTCAGCAGCCCCGCCTCTGCCTAGTTCTCCAAAGGACATGTCTTTAGTGAAACAGTCTCCAGAGGGTGTGGGTTCAGTTCAAGAGTTAGACAAGAAGACTCCCTGTGACTTCAACAGAACAATGGGGAAAGGCCTTTTTAAAGGAGGGCATGCTTGGATCATGCACTGGTTAGTCCTAGACCAGGAATTGGGTCTGAATTCTTGTCCCTGCTCTGCCACTAGGGGTGAGCATACCTGCAACTGTCATCATTGTGGTGGATCAGGCCCAGCAGCCCTGAAGCCTGTGCCTATTAAAAAGAAGAGCCTGAGAGGCTGGGCTGAGGTCTCACAGCAGATAACAGGGGTCTGAGAGTAAAACTCAGGATGTGGCTCACTCCAGGCTGGGCTGCTTCTCAAGGGCTGTACCCCTTCCTTGGCGAATCTCCATCCTGGATCAGAGACCGCTCCTCTGCAGAAGGAGAGGCCTCCCAGCTGCCAGGGGCCATGAGCCTGTGATTAATTCTCCCTGGGAGGTGAAGGGAAGCCCCTAATTACTAGAGAGGATGGAGCTTGGGTCATGTTAAGCTCCATTTAAGCCCTTCCTTTGGGCCTGGTCTGTTTGGCTGGGGAGAAAGGCAGGCGAGTGCAGGCTGCCTCCTGGGAGGGCTCAGCCACCTGGGGTCTCCTTCTAGTGCATCTGGCCCAGCAGGGGTCAGGGAGGCAGCACCTGGACAGCACAGCACCTGCTTTCTACCCCACATCTGTAGACATACAGGTGGGAGAGGAGCTATAGCTGGCAGGTTTGGGGAGCCAAGGAGCCGGAGTCAGCAGGGGGGTGGGGTAGTTGTGACCGCTGTGACACCCCAGAGTATCCTGCCACAGACAGTGAAGCCCGTTGTGTCTAAGGGTTTCCTCTGTGCTGGTCTGGTTTTGTAGCATTCCTAAATGTTGACTCCTGTCTGGACCCCCAAGTTCCGTCTCTTCTTGTCTTGGGCTCTCAAAATTGACATCCCCCTTGTGCCTCTTATGGTCAGCCCCTAAGCAAGGGATGTACAGACTCTTCAGACTACCCAAAGTTTTATTTGGTGAAATGTTATTCGTTCCTATCAAGTTGTTTTATATAAGTATCCACACACTCCTAAATTCATATATAGGAAGATAGTCTGTTGTGGTTGAGAGCATAGGAGCTGGGCTCTGCTAGACTCAGGGCAAGTCCTTTGCTCTGTATTTTATTGGTGTGCAACCTTAGGCAAGTTACTTAGCATCTCAGAACTTCAACAATCTCCTTTACAAAATGGCATTAACAATAGTAGCTACCTTACCAGGCTGAAGATTAAATGAGGTCATGCATATGAAGGCTTTACATGTGTGGACATGGATGGTTTCTGTCATTTATTGTATGAGAGGTATGTTTACATATGACATTAAACAAAGCATCTCCCTGTCTATTATGGTAATCGTCAACCATTTATTTTGGCCATGTGACAATAGGGATGGCCTTTCATTGTATGTTCTTACCAGGATCATATACAATATGCTATAAATGCCCCATGTTTGGCAACACTTAGCCCTGTTTGCTTTGCTTTATGGCTCTCCTTAGGTGCTTTGAGAACACTCCTCACTGTACAAGGCTAAGAAGTCGGGTGGGGGAAGGCACTGGGTTCAGCATTCATTTCCTTGCTTTTAACAAGAAAACCTCATATCTCTGGGTGCAGAACCCTTCTGTGGACTGAAAAGTTTGTGTCTCCCCAAAATTGACATGTCAGGACTCCAACCCCCTATGCGATAGTATTTGAACAGGGGCCTTTGGGAGGTAATTAGGTTTAGATGAGATGGGTGGTGGGAATACGGCCCTTATTAGCAGAGGCAGAGACCAGAGTCCCCTCTTCACCCCACTTGAGGATGCACCAAGAAGGTGCCATCTGTAAACCAGGAAGCAGATTGCACTAGGAATCAAGATCTTGGACTTCCAGCCTCCAGAACTGTAAACATAAGCATTTGTGATTGAAGTCACCCAGGCCATGGTACATGGTTAGAGCAGCTGGAGCAGTAAGACAGCACCTGGTAGGGGGAGCGTCCCAGTCCCAGCGTGTCTGAACACTCCTCTCTGCTAATGTTCCTGTTTCTCACCATGGCGGACTCCTAGCTTCTCTGGCTGTTTCTTCTCCTCATTGGTTGAGTCCTCCCAAAGCCACTGAATCAGATGCACCAGACAGAGGCCTGGGAATCTGAGTTTTCACAGAGTTCTCTAGGTGATTCTGATGGGCGCCCCGGCCAGGAGCCATCGCTGTGGACCACCAGCATTCAGTGAGGTCTCATAGTATCTCAGTGCTTCCCCTTAATCCGGTTCCTGGAGATGTCAGTGCAGGCCCCAGAGGGGAGTTCAGCAGAAGAGCCTGAGGTTGTGTGAGGAAACTACTCTCTCTCACTGAGGCCTCTCCCAGAACGGGGTGTCTTTGGTGTGGATGGAAACAGTAGATGTGATGTGTAGCCGGGATTTTTTCCCCTCCAGCTGCTGTCCTGCCTTCCCCCTGGGCTGGGGAGCCTTCTAGGTTACCCTGAGACAGCAGCCTTGGAGACCCTGACTGTGCATTCAGTGCTGGGGTGACATTGGGAATGGGGTCCTGAAATGCCTCCATTTGAAAAGTTTCTAAAACTCCCATCTGTCACCTGTCCCGCAAATCTACCTCTCATCTGAAGGGTCAGTTCGGTTGTTCAGGATAGCAAAGTGTTTTCTGTGTCAGAAGCTGAGCTAAGACACAAGGTTACAGAGCGGAATCATGTATCTTTGCGATGCCTGTGTTCTCCCGAAGTAAGTTCTGAGGGGCGAGTGCAGCAGAATAAACTTCAGTAGTTTGTTAAAAAACGTAGCTGCCAGATTTTAACAAATGTGCCCTCTGGCAGGGGCGTTGATAGTGGGGGAGGGGACTGTGTGTGTGTGTGTGTGTGTGTGTGAGTAGGGGCGCATGAAAACTCCCTTTTCTTTCTGTCAGTCTTGCTGTGAACCTAAAAATGTGCTATAAAGTCTTTAAAAAAAATAAGTAAAATAAAATGTAGATGCTGAAACCCTAAAGCCCAGGTCTATTTGTGCAGAAGTTCAGAGGATGGGGTCCCAGCACCTGCAATTTTGGAAGTCCCCTTGTAGAATCTCATTCATTCTAAAGTTTGAGAACCAGTGGGAATGAACTATTTTTTTTTTAACAATTCTAATTTTATGTTCATTGTATAAAATACATGTAAATGGAAAGAAGGAAATTAACCACTTATAATCTTACCCTCCTAAAATAATCACCTTAAACATTTTATTGACTGCCCCTCTAGCTATATTTGTGTGTGTGTGTGTGTGTGTGTGTGTGCGCGCGTGCTCATGTTTACACATGGATGTGGAGCACCCCTGTGTTATCTGATACTATGCTAGGTCCTGGACACAGCAATGAGAAAAAGGAGGTCCTGATTATGAAGGACCCAAGTTAATGCCTGGTACAGCTTGAAGTCCAGTCTTAGTCTCCTGCTTACCTGCTCTTACCTTTCCCCACAGGTATATATCATCAATGTGACCTGGTCAGACTCCACGTCCCAAACCATCTACCGGAGGTACAGCAAGTTCTTTGACCTGCAGGTAAGTTGGGCAGACGGTGCCCAGTTCTACTTGCAGTGGCTTGAGTCTGCTGAACTGGCCTCCCATGACATCACTCATTTGGAGAACCCCCAGCAGAGACCTCAGGGTCAGAGGAGGGAATCTCCCCAGTTGAACTGGGCTCAGCACTGTCTTGGATGCTGCAGGCAGATACTTGGGGCTTTGTTGACTTCCTCAGATGGTCTTAACAGTCATGCTTTGTCACCCTTCTTTGCCTGGGGGGATGTAGTAGGAAACCGGGGTGGAAAGGCGGAAGGATGGCTGTGGGTGCTGTGTGCATGAACAGACATGTCTGTAAACATCCAGGGTGAGACACAAGCCACATCATTGCAGACAAAGGAAAGCAAACCCACAGAAAAAACTGAGACAGAAAATAAGCAATTTCTTGAACTACGGATGTAGTACTGTAGGCATATCACCTTGTCTGTCTAACTGAGGTTCTGGCTGTCCTGTTTGTGCATAATTGTGATGTGTGTGTCTCTAATATACCCAGGGATGTGCACACAGGGGGATGGTGTCCAGCTCCATTGCAGTCACTTACCTTGATGTCAGCTAATTTGGTTAGGCCTCTTTTGACTCTGTGTGATAGTTTTATATTCATACCAGCTTATATAAAAAGAAGACTTGGTTGGAAGGATATACTGGGGAAGTCTATACAGTAGGCTCTGGGAACACCTGAAACCAGGGCCATTCTCCCTCTGTGTTGTCCTGCTTCTCTCTGGGTACTGAATTCAGCTTCTGTTACTTCACATCCTGAGGAACTTGGCTGTCAACAGCTCTTGAATTTCATAGCATATTGTTCCCATCAGAGAGACTCTCCAGTTCCAAACAGAAAAATCTCAGAAAAGACTCTGAATGGCCCCCTCTTGGTCAGGTGCCCTCTCTGGACCAATCAGCACAGCCCAGGTCATGGACCACAAACGTGGCTGCTAGGGATCACCCCTGTACCTCAGAAGCAGGCAGAGATAAGGAAGAATCATTATGAGCTGGGCAACAACCCTTCCTATACCAGAAAATGTTCTAGATTCTTCACAAGAGCCATCAGCCTAATTTAGGCCAATAAATACATAAAATAAAAGACAAATTCCTGGCCCTCACAGCCAAGGTCCACTCCTCTTGTTGACCTTTGGTGGAATGACATCCTGGAAAGACCAGGCCTGCATGCATAGCCCCCAGCACCTGATTGTATCCCATTGTCCTTATTGCTCTACCTATGACGTGAGCCAAAAGCTAGTCAGCTTCCTGTATTACAAATCCTCTCTAATCCAACAATATGGGATTGAATATCCCATTGAATATGGGATTGAAAGTCACTCCTTACCCTCCTGCCTTCTTCCTCTTTCCCCCTCAATTCCTGTCCTATATCCGTTGGTCCTTCTGGCATAAACTGGTGGGATTTACTGATAGCCCATCAATGGGGTAGTGTGCTGGACAGGAAATGATAACTTAGTTGGAGAGAGGGAACCCTGAATGGACTCATTGATGAGCCAGAGGGGGTCTAAGAGCCAGCGGAAGCTCTCAAATCAGAACTTTTCTTCCCCCCTTTCTATTCCACCCCCCTACCCCCTCCCCATTACAGAATCTCACAAGAAAGGAATGTTTCTCCTCCTATTCCTCCCATGCCCGGGGGGCACTCTTCCTGTCTATTGGGAGCTTGTGTTATGCCAGGCTGGGCCTGTCCAGGTGGGGCGTTGCCACCCCGCAGATGCAGCTTGGAGAGGTGATGGGATGGTTATTTGGAGTTCAACCTTTGAGCTTAGTTTAGCTTCTTTGTGAACCTATTTTACAAAACTCATGATGTGGCAACTTTTGTGACATTCATTTTGGAAAGCGTTTCTCATTTATTAGTGTCACAGATTTTAACATGGTGGCCACTTTAGAGGAAGAACAAACACATTGGTAACTCTGTCTCTGGCTCTTGGTGGCCCTCAGACTGAGTTTTCTGAGGGGTTGTGTGAGAGTGGAGCAGAGGCGCTGGGTACACGTTGGTTACTGGCTCCATCACCGCATAGATCTGAACAGATTGTTTAAATCAAATGAAGATTCAAATGGTCCCCACCCGGTAGGTTCATCAACATGAGGTGTCTAATTAAATCTGAATTTTTAAAATCATGGGTGAATACTATTTCTAATGCATGGGGCATACTTACATGAATAAAGTGGTTCATTGTTTTTCTGAAATTCCTATTTTATTGTGTGTCCTGTATTTTCCCTTTCTAATTCTGGCAGCCTTACCTGGGCAGTAAATGGTAAAGGTGGAAGTAGAAAGATGGATAAGCCAGGCCAACTTGAGGGAGGAGTAGATTGGACACCAACATTTTTGCAGGACAAAAGTGGCATAGGCTGAAGTTGAGAAAGACAAGGGCCCTTCCTTCCAGGAGTTTACATCCAGTGGGAAAAGTAGACTTTCATACTCCCACTCCGGTTTTGGTATGGGGGACATTTCGTTGTTTTGAGAATTATGGAATAAAATATGTTTCTAATTTATTTGTGTTTGTTGATTTATTAATGCCTCCCTGCCTTCTAGCCATCTGTTCATTCTTTCAACCATCCATCCACTCTCTGCCTATCCAATACTAAGTGACTGTGGCTCAGGCAGTGTACCGGGCTCTGGGGAATTTATCATTGACCAAAAGTAGGTCTCGTTATGGCTCTTATGGGATTATAGCTTAATGAGGAAAGGTAGATTTTAGTTTAAAAATGGATTTAATACTATCTCAAATGCTGTAAAGAAAAGTAGTATAGACATGTTTTACAGAAACCTTATGCTCCAGGATCAGGGTAAGCTTCCCTGAAGAAGTGAGTTTTGTCTGAAAGATCAATGAGTTATTTTATTTTTGAGATTAGGTGTGTGTATGTGCTTCTAACAGAAGGCTTGCTTCCCAAACTTAAGCATGTTTGTATACAGTTCTAATAATCTCTTTCATCATTCAAACACTCCTAAAAATTTTCTAAGGGCACCAGGATGAGTCCCTCTACTCTGTCCCAAGCCTTCTCTCCCTCTTCTGCCTGGAACCTTGATCCTGTGGTTCTTCCTCCTGTCCAAACACAGGGCTGCACACTGACTCACCCCTCCTTCCTGCGCCAAGAGTAACACCAGGTACCGAGAGTTTAAGCCCCTGCTGTCCAGTGTGGTAGCCACTAGCCACATGTGGCTATTTACAGTTAAATTAGTTATAAAAATTTTACAATTTTCATGTTTAAATTAAATTAAGTTTAATTTCTTTAAATCTAGCTTTTGGGTCACACTTGCTAATTGCAAGTGCTCATGGCCACGGTACACATGTTGAGTGTTTCTGTCATTACAGAACTGCATTGTTTTAGACCCTCTGGAACACACAGCAGCCTGGATCTGGCTTCATGGCCACCTGGAGTGCTCTCCCTCCTCCCAATGTCCTCTAAAATCTTCCAGGGCTGCAGCAGGAAGAGGGAAACTGTGTTTGCCATGATTTGCCCCATTGATCGGGCAATTCAGTTTAACAGCTATTCCAAACACCTCTTCTGGAAACTAGGTCATTACTAGAGAGGGCTAATAAGAGCATTTCAGATGTCACGTTGGGAGCAGGGAGAGGAAAGACTCTTGGTCTTCAAGTGGAAATTGGTTTCTTCTAAAAATAATCCACTACTCGACCCACCAGAAAAGAGACCTACCCCCGAGGGAGCTGCAGGTGCAAGGCCTGATGTTTAGGCCTGTTTGGTTTTGAAGGGCTTAGATCACTTGGGGGTGCAGGTAAGGGGGAAGGAGCAGGTTAAGGGTCCCAGATGCTCTTAAGTTGCTTTCTCACTGGTGGCTGGACCACGTTTCCAGCTTCTGTACATTTCCTCGCATTGCTCCTTCACTGTTAAGTGTCTTCCCCAAGGCCTGGCCCCAACGAGGAAGGACCGGAAGGCTCTCCGGAGCCCCAGCCCCATGAAAGGTGGTTTCACAATTGACCTACAAGGTGCTGGGCTGCAGTAATTGCTCTGCAAACATTGGTGCCAAGGTGCTGCTGGTCCTTTAGTCTGAACTCTGGCCAGTGAGTGCACAGGGTCAATATTTGATCAGAATGGGGAGAGGCCCTTTCACTTTTTCATTGCTTGGAAAGTAGAGTTAAGAGGGTTGTTCAGGTTTGCTCATTTGCTCTAGGACTTAACCTATTTTGAAAAGCTTTTATCTCTTCGTTATTCGTCTCTTTAGACTCTCCACCCATAGACCCCACCCCAGGGTCACATTCACTTTGCAACTCTCAAATAGCCAGAATAAGACTCTAATCCCTGAATCATTAGTAACTAGACCTGGAATAGCTGTATATGGGGCAGGGGTGGGGGAGGCATATTAGGATGTAACTTGTGGAGAGTTACTGGATCCCTGCAATTTTAAAATTAAAAGAGTTCTCTTAAGTTCCTCAATTGCAGGCAAACACCTATGTTAGTTTTTCTGTTCATTAAATTTGTATGAGCAGGCCCCAGGTGAGGTCAAATTGGGGTGATCCTGCTGTGTATCAGGGATCAACGTTAAGAGTCAGGGCAAGGCAAGGGCAGGGGGGTGGGAATATCTCTTCTGCAAGCTCTGTCTTTTAATCATTGAGGCCAGCTCTTCATGGTATGAGATCATTGACCCTAGACCAGACACACAGGTGCAAAGCCTGGAGAGTAGCTTGCCAAGTGCTAAGAACGATTTTGAGCCAAGGATTTTTTTTTTTTTTGATTTCCATGTCAACTTTTAATATTTTATTTATTTTTTATATTATTTTTTTAATTTTTATATTCCCCATACAACTGCGACCCCCTTATTTTGACCCCAATCCCTCCCCTCCCCACCCCCCATATAGTGTCTCTGGTTCATAGTTGTTTGTTGATTTTGATTTTTACTTTCTTATAGTTATTCTTTTTCCTGGTCCCTTATTTAAGTTTTCTAGATTCCTGCTATGAGTGAGACCATCCGGTATTTTTCTTTTTCTTTCTGGCTTATTTCGCTGAGCATGATCCCTTCCAGCGCCATC